GGGTAAAAAGTACACGTGTTTTCGCCTTATGTCGTCAATACTTTTCCGCAGGTGCCTTTTTTCCATGCCATCGATGGGGGCCGAGGTCATGGGGGAAGGGGGCGGAAATCCACCCTTTCTCCTGGCAGGCGAAGGACCATCTGAAGCCCGGCGGGGACGTGTTTGTTAATGATCACCGGGATCAAATCTCGGTTGCACTTTGCTGCTGGTTCACCTGATGATTTGATCGGGAACGTAACATTTACACAGGAACAACTAATGGGTGGTGAAGGTGGTGTGGGTGTGACACGTTTGTCCCAGCTGGAGATGGTGTGGGTGTGACATGTTTGTCCCGGCTGGAGATGGCGTGAGTACGACATGTGTGACCCGACTGAAGATGGTGTGGGTATTGCGCATGTGACTCGGCTGGAGATGGTGTGGGTGTGACACGTTTGTCCCAGCTGGAGATGGTGTGGGTATGACACGTCTGTCCCGGCTGGAGATGGTGTGGGTGTATGACATGTGTGACCCGGCTGGAGACGGTATGGGTGTGACGCGTGTGACCCGGCTGGAGATGGTCTGGGTATGACATGTGTGACCGGCTGAAGATGGTGTGGGTGTGACACGTGTGACCCGGCGGGAGATGGTGTGGGTATGACGCTTGTGACTCGGCTGGAGATGTGTGGGTGTGACGCGTGTGACCCGGAGATGGTGCGGGTATGACGCGTGTGACTCGGCTGGAGATGGTGTGGGTGTGACACGTTTGCCCAGGCTAGCAGCAGGAAGCAGAGCGCGCGGATCAATGGTTCGAAGTCTGACTGGAACGACGTCGCCGGGGGAATACCTCGAGAATTGGTGCTGGGACCACCTCCGTTCATTATTTACGTCGACGATTTACCAGAAGTGCGAAGCGCGGTTAAAATGTTTGCGGATGTTACTGAGGTGTTCCATGGCCCCAGCCGTTTTCTTCCCACGTTAACCTCAATGACCTCATCAGTTAGTCGGAATATTACGATTGTTCCCACTCAAGGCACCCAAGCGCTAAATAGTGCACATCGGCACTTGCAACCCGTGCCTGACATACTTCCTGAACGGCATGGAAATCGCAATTGTGCCCACCGAAAAGTACCTAAAAAAATTTGCGGAGGCTCATGCAAGATCGTGTTCCACGTGCAGACTGCGAAGGGGGTTTCTGAGGCCAACCAAAGGCTGGCCGTCGTGAGACTGCCACTCACCAATATTGACATGCTCACGCTGCCACTGTTGCTTGGACCACGGCACGTCCATTTTGGCACAACTATTCGAGATTATGGCATCATCACCTGGCCCGTTCAAAGAGCTGGACATCATCACATAGGGTCGGTTCGGCGATCTGGGCATCATCACATAGGGTCTGTTTGGCAAGCGGGGCATCATCACTTGGGGTCCGTTCGGCGAGCTGGATCAGGAACGAATGGAGCGGGTTCAATGACGAGCTGCACGTCTCGTCCAAGGGGTAAGGCACCGGCCTGAGAGGCTCAGACTCCTCCAACTGCCTTTGCTGCACCACCGACGTCGCAGGGGAGACAAGGTTGCAAGGTTCCAGATGCTTCACGGAAGCATGCCTTTGCTGGTTGGTGAGTTCCTGACCAGGCACGACTCGGAGGTGACGAGAGAGCATGAATGCAAGCTGAGAAGCCCTCAGGCCATGACCTTCGTCTTTTGGAATACATTCAGCTCCTGGGTCGTAAATGGTTGGAACGCTTTTCCACCGGCAGTACTTTCGTCATCCGCAGCCGAACAGTTCAAAACTGGGCTCGATTGGCGCTGAGCTGGCAGCATGTACGACGGCCAACGCTGACCACGCCATTGAAATGAGGGTTTTAAGTTACCCGACGGGATTTTGAAAAGACCGGGATTCACAAGCCACAAAGGTCTTTTAATTCCTGATCATCGTTCGGTAATGCGTGTTAGTTGATAAACTTTAGATTAGAACTCGTTGGCGAAACAAATAGCGGAAACCCAACGTTTTTGGATCCACGGTTCAAATGTGAGCCCTGAACTAATCTGGTCTTGCCGCATGCTGACAACGGGTGTCGTAACAAACATGCGTTCCCCTTTGACCACACTGACGTTGAATTGCTGCTGCCACCGGCCGCTTCTATCCAAGTCAGGGGCCTTATAGCGAGCGCGTTCAAAAGAGGGCATTTAGGCTCTCTTTCCGCTGTCCCTCCCCTTTATGGTCGCATTTTTCTTTTAGCACCAAAGATGGTTCCTGACCAATGCCAAAGGAGAGCGACGTGTTCTCACTGAGCTACTTCCTTCCGGCGGGGGTCTAAAAAACGGCATGTGACGCTTCCCCCCTTCCCCCCGAATATAGTATTTGAGTATCCTGGCTGCGCCCCTGCGAGCGCGTTAATAGGGACTTGAACCAACCATACCGCCACGAGTTTTGGCTCAATTTAACTGATGGTTCAAATGAACCCCAGTGGAACCAGGGGCTGATTCCAGTTGAACTGCGGAGGACAACGAGTTGAGGTTGTCTGTTCCATTTCATTCATTTTGATGGTTGTTGATGCACTTTCAGTTGTAATCGGACGTTTCAGTCCTCATGTCTGTTCGATTTTCTATACCAGATTCGAACTAGCACCATTGATAATGTCTGAGGCTTTCTGGTGAAAACTGGCCGTTTCAGCTTGGTGCTTCAGCTGGTGACCATGTGTATTTTGGTGATGGAAGGGACCATTCTGGTCGTCCAATTAATTTTTCCCGAGAACTATTTCAACCTTTGAACAGCTGTAAAGCGAGAAGGCTAATCACGGAAACACACTGCTGGAAATCTGGCTTAAGGAAAGAAAGGGTGGTGTCTACAAGTGGTTATTCAAGATTCGTGGTGTATTTCTATATCGAATTCAGTAAGCTGTTCGAAGGCTGCGTCTGTCTCCACCCCACGGTTCATTAAGCATACACTATCGCGTACAGACTGACCTTGGCCGCAATAAGTACGGAAGAGGATTGCTCCCGCCCACGTACCTATCTTCCAAATTTGCCTTCGCCCAAAGCATACTCCTGCACCACCTTGAACTTACCGACCTTCGTTGGAAGTGGAAGTCATGAAAGGGAGGCTTTGGCGGAGAGGTGGTGGGGTAAGCAATTTAAGTGATAGCAGGGAAGGACAATAGGAACGAAGGGACTGAGACAGAAATGCATCACAGGGCCTGCCAGGCTGCACAAGGCCATACTCAGTCGTACTAATGTAAATCAATTGGAATTGTTCAGTTCAGAGAATGCTCATCTTTCAGATATTGGTTATTTTTGCATCCCTGAAGCCATAAAACCCAACTCTTTCTGTTCCTTTGTTGTCCTCATACTGCATTGTTTTTGCAACTACCAAGGTTCCTGTAAGACCAGACTTTAAATAGTACATCTCATGCTGAACATGTTTGCAAACATGTGAACATGTTATAGAAGTAATTCCATGCCTAAAGATTCTAAAACATTTGTAATGCAAAATTATTTTTGCAACATCACAATTGGCCTGACCTTGGTTTGCTGCACATGGGTGTCTGGTCATCAGATAGGTAATCTTCCAGTCAGCCAGCAAATAATAGATGCAATATGCTTGTTGCCTGTGCTCCTTGAAATGAGCCTTGCATCAGCATGATGTACACCATATTCAGGCTGGGCCAAATCTGGCTGAATTTTATTTATCACATGAAAAGTGTGTTTTTATGGTCTGGCCCTGTTGTTGACCATGCCCAAAGTTTGAAGATTCCTACCAGGTCTCTCCTCAGTCTGCAAAAATCCTTCCACTGCACCAGACCATCACTTTTTTAATGCTCTTCATGTATCCACCACATTGTAGCATTTGTCTAGGTACTGACTGGCAATGCCTGAGTTCACACATAACAATGAAGTTAATCTGGTGGTTATCTTGATGAAGCCAGTAAGTCTACCAGAGATCAAGACATAGCTGTTTATTGGTCTGACTTCCATGAAACTGAGAACAAAAATACATAAACAACTGCAATTGCAGGAAAGTACTGATATTGTGAAACATTTGCAGTGCTTGCTGTGCCAGCAGTGAACCGGAGACCACATGATGGAGGAAACAAGGCGGGGATCTTCCAGCTGCCCCCGACATTGGGAAGATGATTCCATGGAATGCATTTGATAACTGGGGTGCATGCAATATGTGTTGTTACTTTTGACCTGGAGTTGGGACAGGCAATGGAGGTGAGGAAATGGCCCGCCAGTTAGATGATAATCTGACTAATTGGTTGTTATGGCTTTCTGTTATGTGTGACCTTATAATGGCCTTATGATGATGATGACCTGTGATGACCTATTCTAATGACCCTAATCATATCTTATGTGGCCAAGATGTGCTCATTTGGCTGTGCTTTTCAATAATTTGACCTGCTTCTGTATATTGGAAAGCTTTTATAATTCCATTCAAAATGATGAGTGATATTCTTAATCTGGAAATACTCTGCAGTCAGCAGTCTGTCAGAACAGTGTTGTTTAGGGATGTGTGACATTTGCAAAGGGCCAATCAAGGGGCAGCATAGAACCAGCTAAAGATGGGGGTACGACTGCCCTGATCCACCACCCAATGTTCCGCAGTTCAGAAGCTAAGGATAAAACAGTGAGACCTACTTCTGGTAGAGGGAACATGTCTTCTTTACTGTATTCACTTGAGTGTGAATGACCATGGGCTGAGACTCTGTAATCCAGGTTTTAAGTAAGTTGACTCACAGGGAGCACCATTCCCTTCATTGTTTTGTTTTGGTCTTGTCATGACATTTTTTGGCCATGTGGAATAGTGCCACCCCATGACCGTTGGAGCAGCTAGCTTGCACTAACCAGTTACTTGCAAAGGTGAAGAAGGTTTTCTATTCACCTGGGAGGTGGTGGGAGTCCCCCCTCCTCCCAAACTTTGAGAGGGAAATAGTTGAAAGTCCTGGGAGAAACCTGCTTTCCCCTGCATATCAATTTTTAAAGTGAAGAAGTGGAGAATTACCATCTGGGTTACCCTCAGTCCGTCTTCCGACCTTTTTGTTGTAAACCGCACCCCCGAGTCCGGTTACTAGTCGGAGCTTCCTGGCCACGTTGTCGACGCCGGTTTCGGGGCTCATGTGTTTGGACTTCGGACGTGTTTTGGCAAACGTCGATGTCAGATGTGTGGATGACGCCCGGCCATGCGGGCGGCTTGCCTGCCGGGGTCACTGCGGGTCATGGTTGACCGCGGCCGGTCACGTGGGCACCGCCTCTGGCCGGTCGACCGACGGCGGGAGTCGCCGGCCGGTCGGCTGGGGAACCAGTGCCCAACGCGCACCTGGATGCGGACGCCCGCGCCCGCCTGCCAGCAGTCAACATATTTTTGAAGAGTGCGCAGCTTGTGTTAAGATCGTGTTGTCCGAAAGCACGGCAAGGTAACCTAAAAACCCGGGCTGCACGAGGCGCACTTAGTGAAGAGCAGGTCGATGCAGCGCGGAAAGCATTCTGGCGTTTCCCAGTGCGTCTCAATGTTTGTGTTCAACTTCTGAGTCGCAAAAAACCGTGGGGATGGATTTGGTGTTGCGTCGAAGAGAAGACCAGCAATCGGTCGATTGCCAATGGTAACCTTCAACGCTGAAGGTGATGCCCAAGGGTAACCTTGGACATTAATGATGCCCAAAGGTAACCTCGGGACAGCATTGCTTCGATAAACAGCTCCGGATCGAATAATTCCAAGTGGAAGTCGCCATTCACCACCAAATGATTGATTCTTACGAACATAGCGCAAATCTTATCGCTACATGTTCCCGGCAGTTGCGTAAAGTGACCGTGTGGTATCAGGGTCGTTCAGGATCAGCCGTGGTCAGGATTAGAACAAACATGACCTTGGACGACGTGCAAAAATGTTGAATGCCATCATGGCCCGGCCAGATCTTGGCGAGCCCCGCCCTGTCTCGACAAAAACACGGCGGAAGTGACCACGGCCGTGTTTGACCAATTAAGGTTACTCAAACGGCATGCCTGAAAACGCCTTCCGTAAATGTTGTAGAGCAGAGTTCACGGTGTCTGCAGGAACTTGATTTGTGTTAGCTTGAGTATATGCAATCATCAGAGTCAGATACTAAGCTACACGGAATGTCTCTTATCCCAAAGAATTACCTCTTGCCCAAGATAATGGTTCTAGTGCCACGTTACAAAGCGTGGACGTGCGTAGCGAGGCGCATAAAGCTGACACAAATGTTTAATTAAAAGGAGCGTTTCAGTTTCT